CCATCTCAATACATTTTTTTATTTCGTGGCTACTGGTGCCAAGAGTGTTGACCATGGAGCCGAGCAAACTGAAGCTGTGAACACTCTCAATCTCTTCGCCATCCATCCTGATGCTACCGATTGGTCTGGTGGTGAGAATTTTTGTCTTCTTGACATTGAGCCTCAGTCCATATTGAAGGCTGAGATACTTTTCTAAAAGTAAATTTCCTTATTTCAAAAATGTAAAAACAACAAACATATTACAGGATTCTGGTTTCAAAATAATATGGAAGGAGTGCTAGTGGCCTAGTGTGCTGACAATCCAAACGTCCATGGTTTGAATCTACCAGTGGCTCCACAGGAGAAAGACGAACAATTTTGTGTAAGTCACAGCTTTTGAAAAACTACTAGAGGATCAGCTACAAATTGTTTCTGACTGGAAAGAACATAACAGCAACAACATGCATTTAACAGCCTTCTTTTCCAAATTTACACTGGCATTAGAAGGAAAAACAAAATAACTCAGTATCACAGGAGCGTGAGGTGGAGATCGAGGTGAGGGAGCTTGCAGAGACTGCAGGATCAGGCTGAAGGCTGAGTTGGAGCAGACATATGGCAGAAGTGCACTGCCTGGCCTCTGAGAGGTGTCAAGGAGGCTGCAGCACCCTGGGCTGGAGGGGGTGGGACAATGAGGAGGACACCAACACCAGAAACACCTGCAGAGCCCAATGAATGACTCTTCCCCAGAAACAGCATGTCTCTGAAGCCCATGGCAGGCTCATAACATGCCCTAGAAGTCTGTATCCTGGACCTCAGTAGCATAGGACTTGGGGACAAAGGAAACCAAAAAGGACAAAGACTGGGGAAAATAGGTTTGGGCAGGTCCTCTGTTGTTGGTTTTAATCTGTACTGTTGTTTATAGTTTTAATCAGGGGAATATTTTTGAAATCTCAGCCTACGTGTGGAAAGGGTTGGGAAGAGAGAAAGGAGGCATAAAGGGGAAAGGAGATGCCAGGAGAGGGTGGTGACCTGGGCCAGGTCGAAGTTGGAATCCAAGACTGGGGGTGTCAGGAGCCAGTGAGAGAGGAGGAGTGGGTGAGAGGTAGGGCCAGGTAGATGCGGGCACGCAGCTGTGCAGCTCAGCCTGAGGGCCCAGAGGTCCTGAGCACCAAGCACCTGAGGGCATCATGCTGGCAATCCCCAGGACTGGACAGCTGGGACCTCGCACCCTTGAGATCTGATGGGTAAGGAGGCCCAGGTACTAGGTTTCTCCTAACTGGACATTTATTTCTTCTCTTTGATATTTCTTAAGATTTTATCTGGGTTTGCATCCAGTAATTTGTTAATATTGTATTTTATTCATGTACATTGTTTTTGGTTTCTCCCCCTTCCTCTCTCTACCAAACCCTGTAACTGGACGTTAATAACAAGGCCAGTTTTTCTAGTTGTAGTGAGAAAACGCTTGAGATCCACCAGCTGCAGCCATTGGCAAAAATGCCGCGCACCCACTAACTAGGGCTCACCAGTGTCCCAGGAAGAGCTCTGTCACCTCAGCACCAGGGCTACCTTACTCTCTTCTCTTCTGCTTCCCTGGCAATATGAAACCCTCCTCTTGAAACTTCCCACAACGGTGACCTTGACAGAGTTGGGGAGACCTGGTTGCACCCACTATTGTCACCTGGATTAATCTCAGGCAAGGGACCCAAAACATCTCCAGTCCTGAGACAACATTTATGTTTCTTGCACAAAAATCCTTCCCACCTCATTTTTCCAAATATTCAAAGGAGGCCTTCAGAGAGGGAGAGACAACACGTTTATTTGCTGGCTGAAAGGTTACTCCTGTGACCATGGAGCCAGGATTGACAGAGGAGGAGGCTGAATGAGATCCAGGGTCCAAAAGAATCTACTGTGGGCCTCTGAACACAGCATAGCCAGCTAGAGGCTATGGCAATTTAGGGAAAGGAAGAGATCCCCAGACTGAACTGTGGCTCCAAGGAAGTAAAGAGAAAGCCATATTCACTATAGAGGGAGGGGGTTGATTTCCAATTAGCAGCAAGACTTCTGGCCACATGAGGGGACACAGCAGGCTGGCTTGCACACAGGGCGGCAGATGAGGGACATGCAGGAGGAATTGGGGGCACAGCAAGAGGAGGTGGGCACACAGCAGGCGGGCTTGCACACAGGGCGGCAAATGAGGGACACACTGGAGGAGGGCTTGCAGCAGGAGAAGGAGCAGACAGAGGGCTGGCAGCAGGAGGAGGTTGTGCAGGGGCTGGACCCACAGCAGATGGGTTTACAGCAGAGAGGTTCACAGCACACAGGTTCACAGCACATGGGCTTGCAGCAGACAGGTTCACAGCACACGGGCTTGCAGCAGACAGGTTCACAGCAGATGGGCTTACAGCACACAGGCTTGCAGCAGACAGGCACACAGCAGGTCTGCTGGCAGGGGGAGGAGGTGCAAGCAGCTAGACTGCTGGCAGCATGAGGGAGCTGAGCAAGAAGTTGCCCCACAGCACAGGGGCTTGCAGCAGATGGGCACACAGCAGACAGGTTTGCAGCAGACAGGCACGCAGCAGGTCTGCTGGCAGGGGGAGGAAGTGCAGCATGAGGACTGGCAGCAGGAGGGCTCACAGGAGCTTGTGCAGCCTGATTGGCAGGGGCTGGACCCACAGCTCACAGGGGTGCAGATAAGGGTCAGGCAGGGGGTTGGGGCACAGCAGGTGGGGGCACAGCAGGTGGGGGCACAGCAAGAGGACTGACAGCAGGAGGACTGGCAGCAGGTGGGGGCGCAGCAGGAGGGCTCACAGCAGCTCTCTGGACAGTCTTCCATCTCCCAGGAGGAGCCTGTACAGGACTCAGAGGAACCAGGCAGACAGACGCGGCTGCCATAGCTCAGGTCACTGGAGCAGACAGAGACGGTGGAGGTGGCCATGGTGGGGTGGGAGGAGATGAGGTGGAAGAGGAGGAGGGTGTGAATGAGCAAGTGAGTGAGTAAATGTGGAGTTCTCAGCCTCAGAGGCTTTTATATCCCTCTGTGTTATATGCTGTCCCAACAGAGGCCTCCAAAGCCTCTCTTCCTCATTGTTGTTAGAGCAGCTATTGCTGTTGTTTGGTTCATTTTCCTTGTTTGGATGCTGACTGAGGTTCCTGCATGGAGTTGGATCATGCTGGCCTCTGTGTGTCCTCAGAGGAAGTCAAAGTACCTGTGAGATGCCAGCACGGCAGCAGTTGTGTGATTTTTTTTAAGGGAGGTTCGTTGCTGCTTCCCATGAGGTCTGCTGGCACTTAGCCTCATTCATTTGGGGTGAAGTTTAGGGCTGGAAGACATGTGTCCTTTCTGACCACACTCACATTCTGACCACGTTCTGATCATGTTCCGATCACGTTCTGACCACCTTAGCCTGTTTCAGAGCTGCTCTGGGACAGGATGAGCCCCAGGCAGATGTAGAGGTCTATGTCCTCTTGAGGGTAGAGATCCAGGGATGCACATCACTGGATGCACATCCAGGCCCCACGTGTCACAAGAAAAAAAAATCCTGTGTTGTAACTTGGTCTTTACGAACAACAAGTTTGAAAGCTCACCTTCATCTGTCCTCACTGCTCAGACAATACCTGCAATGGTCTGTCAGAACATGGGCTTTTCCCTCAACCTTCCTTTCCCTCCTAGTAGCCAGGAAGTCACAGGGAGGTCGTGACTGCGAACCCAGCTTTCTGCATCCAAGCCTAAAGCTGTTGCTGAAAATGCACAAACCATAGGTCTGGTTGTACATGGGGCTTAGGGAATGACTGTCCTGTAACCAGAAAGAATAGGGAACTAACTTTAAAATAATTTCTAATACGTTGAAACTAATATTTAAAAAAGAATATTTTTAAAGTGAAGTCTCAGTCTAGGACAATTGAGAAAGATCTCTTTATTGAGAGGAAGCACTTTGTTGATGTTTGCCTCTCCACTCTGCAATCTATATCTGAGATGTACTCTTTTCTGCAACATAATAAGGTAAGACCTTCTGATCTGTTATCACAGACAACCTATTCAGTGGATAGTTTCTAGCAATAAATAAGAAGGAAGAACCTTAACTGGATACTGCTTTCCGACTGTTTTCTGATTTTATTTTCTTCTTTACATTATGTGCTGACTAAAAGCAAAGCTTTTTCTCCTAAGATAATTCAGCTCAAGAAGCTAGCCATGTGTTATCTCAAGATCCAGGAACACACCTTACATATGCATCTCATACTCTGATGAGTGGAAACTAAATCAGAGTTAACTCTTCAGCAGGTTTTCAGAAGACTGGAAATCACACAGAAGGAGATTACTATCTTTCTTCTGAGCAGATGCTCATGAATTTGAACTTCCAGGGAGGAGCTGCCTCTGGGTGAGCAAAGCAAATGCCTGGGGACAGTACATCAAAGTTCTCTCTACTCGATGTTGGCAACCTGGAATTCAGGCAATACAGCCCCAGATGCTGCTTCCTAATGAACTTTAACTTTGCTAGCAATTCCTGTTTTGAGTTGTCTTAAAGAACTTTTAGATGTCATGTATATGCAGAGGTTAAAAAGAGTGAATCCTTTGTGATCTTCTGGAGACCAGCCATAAGGAAGTCTACAGCACATGCCTCGTGATGACTAAGTACCTAACCAGACAGACAACATCTTGATGGTCAACCATGAGCACTTCCTGATTTGCCTAATATTTCCTTTTGTATTCCAGGTCTATCTTTCCCTTCTAAAGTGCTAAATAAACATGAGTCCTTCCCCATGCCCTTACCCTAACCTACAAATAATCCCTTGAAGTATCTCTTCCTTGAGACAAGTTTGGGGAAACCATATTTGCTATCCCCTGGAGAACAACCACCTGGCTAACTGACTGGAAGAGATCTATATTTGTTCCCATCCCAAAGAAGGGTGACCCAACAGAGTGTGGAAACTATAGAACAATCTCATTTATTTCACATATGCAAGCAAGATTTTACTGAAGATTATCCAAGGATGACTGAAACAACACATCAGCAGAGAACTGCCAGAAGTCCAGGCTGGGTTCAGAAGGGGTCGTGGTACTAGGGATATTGTAGCTAATGTTAGATGGATCTTAGCTGAAAGCAGGGAGTACCAGATGAATGTCTATCTGTGCTTCATTGACTATGCAAAGGCATTTGACTGTGTGGATCATAACAAACTGTAGCTGACTCTGAGAGGAATGGGAATACCAGAACACTTGATCGTGCTAATGAGAAACCTATACTTGGACCAAGAGGCAGTCGTCAGAACAGAGCAAGGAAACACTGCATGGTTCAAAATTGGGAAGGGTGTACACCAAGGATGTGCCCTGTCTCCATGTCTTTTCAACTTGTATGCAGAACAGATTATCTGGGAGGCTGGGCTCTATGAGGAGAAATGTGGGGTCAAGATTGGTGGAAGATCTATCAACAGTCTGCAATATGCAGATGATACAACCCTGCTTGCTGAAACTGAAGAGGACCTGAAGCGCTTGCTGCAGAGGGTCAAGGACTGCAGCCTCCAATATGGATTGAGGCTCAATGTCAAGAAGACAAAGATTCTCACCACTGGGCCAATTGGCAGCATCAGGATGGATGGTGAAGAGACTGAGATTGTCCACAACTTCAGTTTGCTTGGCTCCACAGTCAACACTCTCGGCACCAGCATCCAGGAAATTAGAAGACATATTGCCATCGGAAAGTCTGCTTTTAGGGACCTCTCCAGGGTACTCAAGAGCAATGGTGTCTCTTTGGAGACTAAGGTGCATCTGATACAGGCCATGGTCTTTGCTATCACTTGTTATGCATCAGAGAGTTGGACAATGACTAAGGAGTATAGAAGGAGAATTGATGTCTTTGAGCTGTGGTGCTGGAGAAGAGTATTGAATATACCATGGACTGCTAGGAAAACAAACAGATTCATCCTGGAAAGGGTCAATCCGGGCTGCTCCTTGGAGGCAAGGATTCTGAGGCTCTGTCTAACATACTCTGAACATGTTGCAAGGAGGGACAGGCCCTTGGAGAGGGACATCATGCTTGGTAGGGTAGAGGGACAGCACCAAAGAGGAAGGCCCCCTATAAGGTGGATTAATTCAGTGACTGGGGTAATCGGGATGGATGTGTCTGAGACAGTGTGATTGGCACAGGACAGAGCAGAGTTTAGGGCTGTTGTACATAGGGTCGCTCTGAGTCACAAGCGACTCGATGGCACATAACAACAACAACAACAACATAAACAAGTATTCTTAGTCCTCAAACTGAGTCCTCAAACTGACATCATTGTTCCTCAATAATTTGGAGAAGTATATCTCTCTAAATTGTTGATCTGTTGTTCAGAGGGTTATGAGGTCTATGAGTCATATTCAACTCAGTGGAAACCTAACAACAATATACCAATATATAAAAAATTTGTTTTTCCTCTTCTAACCCCTGTCTCATCTCTAAGATTGCTTTTTCCAGCAGCAGGCAACAGAACTGTGGCTTTGAAGAAACACTCTCAAGCCCTACTCCCTGGACATCTGCATTGTGGTGTAAAAATAGCCATTATCCAGTGTTAGTACTATACTTGCAACACAATAAGCACACAATACCTGGGTGTGGGTCCTTTTCTGTAACCAGCATTTTCAGTCAAGGCTTGGAAACTGCAGGGTGGTGGCAACATTCCAGCTGTAGGATCTGTAGTCAGCTCAGGGATCCCTGCAGCCATGTCTAGGGCAGAAGGCTACATGGCTAAGAACTCACTGTGCTCTGATGGGGTGGGACTGTGTGCTCTGTCTGTGGGCTTCATGGCAGAAGCAGTCTGGTGATCACATTACTCCCAAGGTCCAACTAGCCCTAGTCAGGGTGAAAAAGAAGACCAGACTAGGAAGTTGTCCTGACGAAAGCTGGTCTGTCTGTCTGGGAACCCTCTGAGAAATCTTCCTAAGTGACTCATGTCATCCACACGGTAGCAAGGCTGGCGACGCTGGAATGGTGCCACAATATGTCCTCCATCATCCTTAGTCTTATTTTCGAGGCCTGGACACTTCCTGTGAACCATCAAAATGCTCATGCATCTCACGGATTGTTTGAGATCCTTCTTATGCATTACTCCACCCAACCTGGATATAATCCTTCCATTTGTATCCCCTTTGCCTCCTCTAAACAGGCTTTTCCTGCAACTCTTCCCATCTCCTGTGGACATGGGAATTCTCCAAGGCAGAAGCTGAGCCTAATCCACTTGAACTCTCTCTGTCCCAGCGCATAATGTACTTGGGATCAGTTTGCTGAGTTGAATGCAACTCAGATAAAGGGAAATGTTCTTTGAACTATCAGAAAGTCCATCTAGAAATGACAGGGAAACTTCTAACTCTGAAGCTCTGGGGCTATGGCTACTGACGAGGATGTGTGGTCCACAGAATGGTGCAATGACAGGTAAAGTGTGCCCACATGGTGGGTCTTACAGCAAGCTTGTAAGTGTGGTAACAGTCCTGTGTAAAGTTTACCATTTTAGAATCAAGATAAAAGGTATTCCTTGGATTTTTTGGGGTTTTTTCCCCCTCTGAGTTATCTTAAGAGAACTGTAGAATTTGGTACTAGAAGAAAACTGGAATCTGTTTAAAGCTGATACAGAAAAATAAATAATATCTTCTGACAAATATTATGTATTTGCCAGTGATATTTCATACAAAGATATTACAACAAAAAGTTTATAAAATACTGCAGTGCCTCCGTAAGGAAATGACTGATAATCAATCACAATATAGGGGAGAAAAAAACCCAACAAAAACCAACTATGAGCAAGAATAAGAGCTAGTTCTTTGAAAGGGTCAATAAAATAGACCCCACTTTAGGGTAAACTTAAGAGAAAATACAAATAACTCAAATAAGAAATGAAAGAGGTGACATCACAACTGAATCACCTGAAATGAAATCAATAATAATTGAATATTATGAAAAG